TAAAGCCAGGCTGAGAAGAAAGGAGAGGCAGCTGAAGGGAAGCATGGAAATGAGGTCTCGGAAGATAATGCAGGGTCTCATGTGGATGTCAAGCTGCTGGGGCAGGAAGCCGGGGTCTGATCTGCATTGATAGCAGGTATTCATTTCCTCCGTGCGGGGCCTCCTTCTCTCCGTTCACTCTAGGCTTTGGAATGCAGGGTTCAGATACATCCCTGCAGACTCCAGTTCTGAGATCTAGACTAGTCAGTCATGCTGCTCGCCTGAGCCCTGAGCACCTAATCAGAGCACTGGGTAGAAAGGTCTCTTAGTACCGTAAGCAGCTGTTCCTCAGGATAGAGATCTAGGGCCGCTGAGAATTTCTCTGGAGTTCTGGGGTCCCTTCTTTTTTTTTTAAGACAGGGTCTCACTTCATAGCCCTGGCTAGCATGAAACTCATGTGTAGACTAGGCTGGCCTGGAACTCATAGAGATCCACCTACCTCTACTTCCCGAGTGCTGGGATTAAAGTCATCCATCACCATGCCTGTTTCTTTTTATGTGTATGTAATTGCCTATATATGTGTGCCTGCTTGTCTGTATGCGCCCCAGTTCATGCAGGAGGTGCCCTCAGAGGCCAGAAGAGGGCAATACTTCCTCTGGAGCTAGAGTTACAGTTCTGAGCCACTGGACATGGGAGCTAGGAACTGAACTCAGGTCCACCAAAAGAGCAGCAAGCACTCTTAACCCCTGGGTCACCTTTCTAGGCCCTATTTTGTTTCATTGTTAATTAACAGGGCACAACTGATGCCTGTGAGAGCGGCGTGGGACAGCCAGCCACCACCCCCACCCCACCCCCACGCTGTTAATACCAGGTGTTACATGATGATAAATCTCACCTGACTAACACTCTTGTTTCCTTCCCTCGCTTTAAGCCCTCTGCCTGAAACTTTTTATTTTTCTTTTATTTCTTTATTCACTCATCCTTGGAAGAAATATTTACTGAACACCTCCTATGTTTTGTGAGTGTGTGTGTGTGTGTGTGTGTGTGTGTGTGTGTGTGTGTGTGTAGACAGACTACAATCAAATGAGCATTGTGCTTGATGATGTAGCCCAACTGTAGGCAAATGTAAGAGTTCTGCCTGTGTTTAAGGTAAGCCAGTCTAAACTAAGCTGTTTGCTTAGTACATTTTCTAAATACATAGTGTTTATCTGTATATCATTAGTAATCCAGGTAGAATCTCTTCCCTTCCTTGATCCTTTTTCTGAATGTCCTTCCTCTTAGTTGAAGCAAAAGCACTGGAAAGACATTTTAGCTATAATTAAGATCCTCATGTTCTTCTGCCAACTGCTACTGGTCTAAGGGGAAGTTGATTAATCTCTCTGGATTAATTTTTCCCTTCTGTACATAAACACTTGAACAAAAGGCCAGTCACTAAGAATATTTTCAGCTGCTCCTGGTGAGTGTCTCCTGCCTTGATTTATGTAGACACACACACAAATGCATCACATACACACACACACACACACACACACACACACACACACACACACACACACACACACCAGGGAAACACTCCAGTGACTCCCTGCCTCACTTCAGTAAAACTCAAAATCCTTATCCTGGAGGTAATATAAGCCCCAGGGACTGGAAGTAGTCTAGCCCCAAAGTCCCTCTGCCTTTCTTCCTGTCCTCCCTTCACCACACTGGACCAGGAGCTTGCACACTCCAATATATTCCTCCTTCCTCTCTCTCCCTGCAGCTTTTTCCCTTCACCTGAAAAACTCTCCTCTGTCTCACTCCTTACTTTTTTCAAAGACTGGCCACATGTCTCCTTTCAGAACATCCCCTGATCTGGCTGCCTCATCTAAAAGTATATCTCCATGTTACAATATACCCCTTAACTTTCTTCATTTAAAACTGTATTACATTTTTATTCTTTTATTTATGTAGGGGGAGGTGCATGTGTGTGGGTATACACATGGTATACTTCACACATAGTAGGAGTCAGTGAACAACTTTTGAGATATATAGATATAGATATAGATATAGATAATTTTCATTATCCACTCATCTGTTGATGTGCACCTAGGTTGATTGCAGTCCTTGGCTATAGTGAATAAAACAGCAATAAACACAGGGTTGCAAATATCTCTGTGGCAGGGTATAAAATTCTCTGGGTATATGTCCAAGAGTAAAATAGCTGAGTCATATGACAGGTCTATTTTTAATTTTTGAAATATCTCAAAAGTGATTTCCATAATAACTGTATTAATTCACACCCCCGACAAGAGTGAATAAGGGTTCTTTTCTGTCCACATCCTCTCCAGCATTTGTTGTCAGGGTTGTTGATGATAACTATTCTGACTGGGGTGAGGTAGTATTTCAAAGAAGTTGTAATTTGCATATCCCTGGCAGCTAGAAATACTCAATACCTTTTAAAACAGTTATTGGCCATTTGTGTTTCTGCTTTTGAAAACAGCCTAGTCAGTCAGTTGTTCACCCATCTGTTGATTAGTAGTTGTATTTCCTTGGGATTTAGGTTCTACCATTCTTTGTGAATTCTGGATAGTAGCCTCTTGTTTGTAGCGTAGATGGTAAAGATTTTCTATGATTCTGTAGATTGTCTGTGAACTCTGCTGATCATTTTCTTGGCTGTACAGAAATTTTTATTTTCACATAGTCCCATCCATTTATGTTTTTGAAGAAATTAATAAAATAATAATAAACAAAATCAACCAAACAAAGCCAACCAGTTGGTTCTTTGGAAAAGTTAATGAACTGGACAGACCTTAGCTATCTGGCTTTTCTCAGTAGTCTCTGAAGTAAGTGTATACCCCAGGAGTTCAGACCACTGTTATCCCATGCTTGGGACATATCCGTTCATGTGTGTGAACTGATTGAAAGTGTCAGTCTCACACAAATAGAAACCTGTTGAAGCAGAAGTGCCCCTCTTTTGTGCCATAGTCACTTTCTTCTTTTACCACAAGCTGAGAGAGATTCACACTCACCAGCAACAGCAACACACACATACACACACACACACACACACACACATACACACGCGCGCGCACAAGACACGCGTGCACACACAATTTCCATCATGGGAGGAGTAAAAGAAAGTGGTAGACATTGCATTCATATCTGACTGTGCAAGTGTTTCCTAGCCAGACGAGGTTAGGATACAGTTACCAACTTGTTACTTGTTTTAATGTCTCTGAGGCACCACACTGACTCATGTTGATGCATAAATGTGACACATAGAGGAAGATATCAGTATACATGCCTATGTGGACAGAAACCAATTGCAAACAGAAATATACAAATACAAATAGACACTTCAGGTTCACTTCAGGAACAATGCAGACTATAAACCAAAAATGATACACATGGGAGGACACACACTTATTAAGCCAGGCATGGAAGTGCATGTTTTTGGTCCCAGTACTCAGGGGGCAGAAAAAGATAGATCTCTATGAGTTTAAGGCCATCCTGGTCTACATATCTAGTTTCAGTTCTGTGTCAATCAGGGCAACATAATGAAACTGTCTGAAGAGAGAGAGAGAGAGAGAGAGAGAGAGAGAGAGAGAGAGAGAGAGAGAGAGAGAATAAGTTTACTTTCAAGAGCACACACACATATGCACACAAACACATGAGCAAAGACAATTATATTACCTTAAGGCATGACCAGGGAGCAGTGAGGCCATATGGGGTGTCTCCTGGCATGCTAATGGTCAGCTTTTGATTACATATGCTACATACTTACATGCATATATTCAATATGGTACATCTACACAGACATTTGTATCAGATTCCTGAGCACCCACTGTGGATAGCAAATCTCCTTTTCAGTCACTACTGAAAACATTTTGGGAACCCTGGCGTGGGGAAGCCATGAAAGAGTCCCTCTAGGACATGCTTTTGCCGTACAGGAGAGAGGGGACTCCACTGGCCTGGTCCTGAGCTGGGAAAGGAAGCTTCACTTGGGAAAAGACCTGAACTTGCAGAGAACAGAGATGTGAGGAATTATTGCCCCAAGAAAAGAATTCCTGAATATGCTGGGTAAATGGAAGGCTTGTCCCCTCTTAGCAGCTTTGAAAGGGAGAGCCCCCAGAGTCCCAGCCAGTTCCAGCGGGCCAGAAAATCCTGCAGAGGCTATTAATCCACTAAAGTCCCCTGGCTGAGAGGAAATCTGATTAACTCTACCTCCCCAGATGGGCTCAACAGTGAAATGTATATCTCATTTCTGAAAGTCGAATAAGGTAGAGAAACAGAGGAAGGCGGGTGAAAGAAAAGGGGAGGACTGAGCATTGTAGGAATGAGATACATACAGGCACTCCTTGGCTCTGCCATTCATTTGGAGGCCAGTATCCCCAGCCTGTATGATGGGATTCAAACTTCCTCTGTTCAGATGGAGGAGTGTGTCTTCTGTTTCTCTCAAAAGGACCAGGCAGGTCACTCGCCTTTGACCCTAGAAACCAAGTTGGCTTTTTCCCTGAATTTCCCTACCACAGTGACCCTGGAAGGAAACTTACTCTGTCTTTCAGACTTTTTTCTAAGTCTTGTGGGCCCAACTATTATAGCTTCTGCACTTTAAAGAACTTGAGGGATCTGGTTCCAAGTAACCCTTTTAAAATGAGAAACTGAGTCCCCTAAGCACATCTGGACTGGGGCTCATGGTGTTTCACTCACATACAGCTATTTTCTTTTTTTAAAAAAAAAATCAAGATTCAGATGTTAAACGACTTCAAAAGATGAATTCCATGAACTCCCTGGAGCGACAGAAGACCTGCAAAGACGCTGGGGCCTGGGAAGTGCAGGAAGCTGGTCTCTGCCAGCACTTCAAGGGTTAAACTCAGCCCAGAGCCTAACACACAATTGGCCGAACCTAGAGAGAAGATATGGTTTTTGCAGCCGCGGGCCAATGAACACCTCGAGTGGGAGGGTTTGAAGCTTCTAAGGAGTTTTTCCCCCCATTTTCCTCTCTCCACCCCCTCCTGTCGGCCCTTCCCCCCCCCCCCCGATCCTCTACGCCGCCAGTTTGTTAAATTAATGCAGTAAGAAAGTCAGTCTGAAGATCTGAGGGAGTCTGGCCAGAAGATGGGTGAGCTCAGAAACCCGACATGCCTCTGAAAGGTTGAGCTCCTAAGCCCTGCTGGGAAGCCATGGACCCCAGCAGCCCCTGAAAGTTGTGGTGGGCTCTATTGCGCCTGCAGCCCCAAGCAATGGGACACCGTTCCTGCAGCAATTCCAACTTATTCGGAGGGGACCAGCGAACACGGACTGCAAGGCGACAGCAGACTGGAACGGAGGCAGGGGAACGAGATTCAGGGACTCGGTTGCGTTGCGCCAGCCTGGCACACTCTCCGACATCTAACTGAAGCCAGCACCGTCACCTGCTCCACCACCACCACCACCACCACCTACACACACACACACACACACACACACACACACACAAAAGAAAGAAAGAAAGAAAAAAACCCTAAAACCCCTCGGGCCAGCCCAGGGCCAGAAAGAAGATGCCAGCCGGGTCTAAAGGTCCGAGGCCAGGGCTCTGATCCCCACGGATTTCTTGCTTGCATGAATCTGGCACTCTCGACATAAAAATAAGGGTTAAAAAGAGAAAAATAAAGAAAGAAAAGAAAAGAAGAAAATATACCCACCCCCAAGAGTGCCTCCCAGCGCCGCAGGGAGCCTTCAGCGAGTTGAGCACCAGCAGCGCTCTTCCCGCCCGCAGCCGGGCTGGACGCTCTCCGTGGTGCTGAACCTGCACGGCCGCCGCTGTCCGCGGTACCCAAGCTGTGCCTGGCTGCAATTCTCCCCGGCTCTGCCACCTCGTCCCTCTACTTCCCAGCTCCCTTGAACATCTGGATTATTTTTCCTCATTGGCGCTCTCTGGTTTCGTGGGTGCCCATCGGAAACATTTTGCACCCCCATAACTCGTGGACTTTACAGCACAAGAATCTGGAAAATGTACAGCTTCAACACTCTGCGATTCTACCTTTGGGAGACCATTGTATTCTTCAGGTACGTGATTTTCTATACTGACCACGACTATCCTTATGTGCAAATGGGGTTCAGGTGAAGTAAAGAGGCTGACCCTGTCGCGGCCTCATCAGTTGGGGAGGGGGTGCTGTGTGCTGAAGGCCTTTCTGTTCCCCTCCTCCCCCCCCCCTCCCCTCCACCCGCAGGGTGTCTGGCTGGTGCGTGTAGGTCCCAGACAGTGGCTGCTCCGGCGGCAGCGGTTTGCCTGTTTCCTGCGGTTTGTCTATTTGACTGCTACACTCCCCCCGATACTGGCCCCATGGCCCCTCTGCTCGTTACCCTTCATTCAGCTGAGGACTTAAGGAGAAGCTTTATGAGTTTTTTAGTTTAATTGGGACCGCATTCTCTCAAACCGCAGTGCTGGAAATCCCGGGTCTCCCGTCTGGGAGCGAAGTGACAACTAGCGGTGACGCGGAAGGTTGCAGTTGGACTGGCTGGACACAAAACAGAGCGTTCTGTCTCCCTTTTTGTTGTTTTTCTGGAGGGGGGGGGTGTCAAGGCTCCTGTGGTTTGGAGCTAGGGGATAACACAGTTATGACCTCAGCTTGCAAAGCCCTAACTTGAGTGCAGATCAGGCCTATTTACGCATAGACACTGAGAAACATTTTCCTTTCAAACTTTGACTCCATCCCTCCCTGATACACACTTCTTTCTGAACTCTGTTAGAGCCGACCCTCCCCTGCTCTAAAGGGCAGTTCTTATTTATGAATGAATGCCTATCCCTGCCGCCATAGCTGGGCTCCCCACACCCATCCATTGACTCCTAATTCTCTGCGTACAGGCTGAGCGTTCTTGTGTTAGTCTAAGTGAAAAGTGAAAAATCACATCTTTAGGAAGTATTGAAACAGATAGGCCTTTTGTAAGTGGGCAAATCACGCCATCTTCAGAGGTGGTGATGATAAATTCCATCTATATGAATTGAAAAATATTCTTCCCAGCTCTGCAGAGATCGTTAATCTTCCTCGTCCTAGCGTGTCTGCTTCTCGTGTTTTACCACTGTAGTGAGTTAATAGGCATTTGAGGAAAGAAAAAAAACAATCCGGTTGTTCTAAAAAACTATATGACCACCAAATAAGATCCTCTCTGATCGTAAAACAGCACATAATCGTGATTTTATTACACTGCCAAGAGTTGTTGGTTTGACTAATCCACTGGCTGGTGATATGGATGAGGCCTCCTCTCCCAAGTGACAGTTTCTGAATTTGAGTCTCTCTTTGTGTTTTTTCTCTCAAGATGATGAAGACAAGACAACCCCTCCCTTCCCAGGGTTACCCACTGTTAAAGCTTTTAATACCCTCTTAAAATACTTCTTTAGCATGCCACTGTCCCAGTCACAGCTTAGAATGTAAATAGTCAAGTATTTTCTTAAGTCCAACATCCCAGAGCCTTGTGAGATTTACCTACTTCATGGGGGGAGGCAAGAAGCGCCTTATCACTCTGCCCACCCCCATTCCTTTTTTTCTTGATGCAATCCTTGATTTTTCCTCTCCCAGACATAAGCTTTCATAAAAAAGGAGAATCGGTCTAAAAGGTCTGCATTGTAATCGCTTAGATAAGGGTGAGACTCCGCTGTGTTAATTCCTCAAGTGAACTGGTGGTGGCTCGTCAAAGAGTCTCTTGTGTCTCCCTTCCCCTCTATGGGTGAAGGCACACATAAGCAGCAATAGACATGATCGAGAACTCGATGTGTTTGTGAGGAAGCAAGAGGCATGACTAGAGAGATCCAGATCATGCTGGTGCTGCGGCACTATCAAAGCAGGAGAACGGCTGCTTCGTTTCAGGAGTTAATGTTCACCCCCTCTGCAATTTCCCAGATAAATGAAGCACAGGGGATCACGAGAGGGTTAACCAAGCAAGATGTCCTTGCTCAAATGGTATTTGCATCTCTGATATTTTCATCTTTCAAGTTTTAGGTAAGACATATACAACAGCCTTAGAACATAGAGTAAACAGAGGCCAGCAGCTCCCTTACAGGTTACAAGGGAATAACCAGCCCCTTTCACCAAGGGGCAGGCTGAGGGTTGGGATGAGCCAGTGTATATTCCCAGGGCCCAGGCCCTTCTTAGGTTAAGTAAGGCCTGTGGCTCACCTGTTTGAAATTATTGAAAATCTGGCGGGGGGTGGGGGAGAGTGGAACCAGGGCACTACCCAAGGTGCTGCTGCATCGCATCTGTGCGCAACCAGAGAAACAGCAACATCAACAGCAAAACAAACAAAAACAACCAAAGTAAGCAGTGTTGGAGCCTCACAGGCTACCACTGCGGGGAGCGAATGGAGGCATTGGCAAGGCAGACTGGGGTCCTAGGAGACCAGCAACACTGCAGTGTTCATCAGCCATGTCCCACAAATGCATGAAAGCAATGTGACCGAAGTTCCTGCTCTCATGGTAAACAGCCTGGCATTCTTAAGTTTCATACATGACACCCTGCGATCCAATAACATAAACTGTGTGTTGCTTGGAGGTTGGGGCCTTATTCCACTTGGGCTAAAACTTCAATTTTTCTTTATTTATTTAACACTGGAAATGCATTCCTTTCAACCCAACTTTAAACCAAAGGAACATGGCTTTTATCCCCCCCCCCCAGAGTCTTGGCAAAGGCTTGTAGCAAGGATGGGACTAGTATGACCCCAACAGTTCCTTGCCTTCTCAATAACTCAGCCAGACATGATCTATAATGATGCCTCTCGGCCTCTGCACTACTGACATTTTGATCTTTGTAATTCTTTGTCATGACGTCTGCCCTGTGCATTGTAGCAGCCTGTCTGGTGCCAGTCACATCTTTTCTCCCTGATCATGACAAACAAAAATGTCTCCAAACACTGCAAACTAACCCAGGGTACAGTGAGAAGGGACGGAATGGCCCAAGTTGTGAATGACAATAAAAATAACCCAAATTTTCAATCAGCTTCTCTGATGCACTAATCGTAATCATGAAAAAGTCGAGTCTGCCTGGGGAAATAACCCCTGGGAGAATACACAGCACGTCCCGCTGAGACAGAAAGGGATCTAGCTTGTGCTTCAGCAGGGATTGAACACAGAGGGACATGAACCAAGTGGTTTTCCCCCAAGATCACCACCTTTCCCTCTGTACCTTCTCCATTTCCCATCCCAGTAGATGACACCTTGTGCTGAGATTTTAGACTCTGTGTGTCAGTCACTTGCCAAGAAAGCTGATCAAAACTTTGAAATGCAGATGTTTCTATCAATTCTAAGACAAAAAAGACCATGGAAAAAACATTGTTTAATATCTCTATCACTATGGACAGATAAATTAGTGTTTTCCTGAGACAGACCCTCTTGGGAAGGTTCCCAAGCTTACCAGGAAGGGTAGACAACCACCTTGGTCTTTCTCCCTGATAACAGCTATGTTCTGCCTGAGTCCTGCCCACTGTATTTGGGGGCACTGCAGAACACATCTAGAAGTTTCTGAAATGGCCCAAGGACTTTTTTTTCCTAAAGAACTAAGCCCATAGGGCAAGTCTGCCTTGGGGCCAACCAAAATGTCAATCAGCCTGCCTGCCCTCTGGAGACTTAGGAAAGATAGAAAAGAAATTTCATGTTTTTATTCCCAAGGAGCAGTTTGGACAGGGACCCAAAGCCAATAAATGGAATTATAAATCCGCACATAACATCTGCATATTTGCAAAACTGGGAATGACCTACCGAGGACACGTGGGGAATTTATCTTTGAGATGGCCTTATGAAAGGCCGCAGCTATGCGGTGCGGTGGAGGAAGCAGAACAGTTATGGGCCACGGGTTCTGACTTCCAGAGTCAACTCGGCTCTCCTCCTGCGGCACAGCCATAACAAGGCTCCTTCTGTATGGCTACTCTAATTTTCTACTCGGATGGCTAAACCCAACCCTTGTGAGTTCCCTTCAGCCTCTGAGCCACTCATTTTACAAAGAGAGGGCCCCGTTTGCACAAAGGCTCTGGACGAGCCGGCCGCAGTGGCTTCCCTGCCTTCATCCCTTCACCAGGTGTTAGCTAACTACGTGATTGTGTGTCCACTTCAAAACTGGGCACTCGGCAGGGACACATGCCGTTCCTGGGGAAACCTTTTTCTCCTGCATTAGAGGGTCTGCGGCGCTCGCCTCCGGGCAGCCTGTGTACAGAGCCTATGACAGCATCACACTGATGTGGGTGTCATCAACTTTATTTCCTTCATCAGCTAGCAGAAGCCAAAACGATTTTTAAGATGGATGGTACTGTCTCCTGTCTGCCCGTCTCGAGGCTCTTCTGCAGGTTGTTCAGTGTGCAGCAGACCTGGGATCTGGAATTTAACTATAGTAGTATGACCTTGAGAAGAGTCTGTGACCCTTCTGGGTCTCACTTTGCCTACCTGTAAAATGAAAGGACACCGCCAATCACACTCTCGAAAATTATTATTAGCTGTTCCTGTTGGCCATGACCTTTTCCCAATCTTTCCCATAACAGTTCAGACTGGGTTAAAGTGATTGCGGTGTGTCTCAGCTATTACCCAAATAATTATAGCAGCTGTTCCCAGCTACTCCCAGACTCAGAAGTCAGAAAAAAATGAGGACCCCACCCAGCTACTCCCCTCTTTGAACAGTTCCCCTAAGATGGACCTGATGACTGACAGAGACGGTAAACGTCTTCCCTTTCCACCCCAAGGACTGTTCAGAGAGGTGAGAGGGGATGCTGTTCCACCACTGTCTTCATCTGAAGAACCATCCGAGAAAGTTAAAGGTTCTCTACTTTCTGTCAACAACTCTGTTTAACATTTACCCAACCCCCACATGTGCGCATAAAGCCTGTTTTTCAGCTGTTCCTCCTTGCCTTATCTACCCATTGTCATTAGTCAGAAGAACACAGAACTGTCTCGGAACCCCCAACCACCCCAGCACAAGCAATGCCCCTGGCTGAATTTACTTAAGATGAAGCGGGGTAAGGACCTGTGGTGCTGCCTAGTCAGCCCATATGGTGTGGGCAGAGGTAAACACACACTGGCTAGTCTTTGA